AAATATGAGCAAGTATAAATGTAATGAAAATTGTCTATCCAGCAAAGAGTTTTCTCCATGGCTAAAACAAGGGAACATACATGAGGCTCAGTGTATTTTGTGCAAGAAGTCATTCAAGCTCAGAACAATGGGAATTAAGGCAGTGGAGTCACACATGCGAAGCGCGAAATATAAAGCGTCAAAATCGAGTTACCGAGAACCGGTATTTCTCAGTTTTGTTCCACCCTTGTCTCAAATCAAACATACTAAGAGAACAATACAAAGAAAAATAGCTGCAAAAAAGACTTAGCACTGGTTATGTTGTGGCTTTAAAACTGATTTGTTTTGTTCCCTGCTAAAACAAAGTTTGTGAATTCGATTACCGTAAATATTTTTTTTAATATATCTGTCATTTGTGTGTTTTTAAGCTTTCTTCCTGTATGGGAAGCTTTTCAAAATTTGAAACATTAGTGCAGTGGTTTATGTTAAAATAAACCTTTGGGTTACGTTGTCTCAAGCGGGTTTTTCTTGTGTTTCTTGTGAATTTGGTCTTAAATTTTTATTTCAAGTGGCATTAAAAGGTCTTAAAATTTAACTTGCCTTATGCTGTAGGAACCCTGGTTTTGTATGTTGTTGTGTATGTGTTTGCCACAAGTTTACACTTTGCTTCTCTATATTTTCTGTGACTTTGAGTTTCTCTTTTGCAGCATTTTTACTTAAAAATAATGTGTGTATTAATTCTGAGTTTGCTGGTCTCATTTTTGTGTTTGCAGTAGTTTATTCATTTGCAGCATGTTTGCACTTCTCAGATGTTTCTTCTTACCACCCAGCAGGCGTTTCCAAGGTCAGCGATTTTCACTCTGATGGAGTCGGCGTTGCGGGGGTCCAGTGGGTTGATCAGGAGGTCTGCCGCTCTGGCCCTGGCTGGGTGTGGACAGAGCGTGACAGTTAGCACACAACCCTGATGAAGAGGTTTAAAACATACCTTCAAAAAAAACATTTTTTTTTTTTTTTTTTGCACCTGCATCACCCTAAATGAGAGAAAAAATGTCTTTTATTGCATATAATCCTTCGGCAAAAAGTACTATCATAGATTTATTTCTACAAACTGCAATTTTTTAACCTCAAACGTCCTCATAAAAACAATGCAAATGACGTATGTAAAATCAGTTACATTGGTTCAGGAAAAAAATCCAATCAAAATAACACTGGTCTTAATTTTCCTTTTGCCATTTTTGACATGAAAAAATGGAAAATAGAAACTCACCTAAACCAGCCCATACCTAAAGCCAGAGTAATAATCAAAAATTTTAACGCAACTGGGACAACAAAGCGGTGCTATAACCCAGGTTTTCCTGCCATAACATGCAGTGAGGCTGATAATAATCCCCCAAATCATTTAGCAAAAGATTATGCTAATAAAACTAATGGTGTCTAATAGTTTTTCACGAGGGCTGTCGATAAATGCAGAGAGTAACAAAGAGCAGAGCTTAAACACCCAGAGACATCTTACACCCACCAGCTGCTTCAGTTTCTTCCACAGTTCAAAGCAGTGATAGTAAAATGTCAAGTGTATGTGGTTGAGGAATGCAGAGTCATTATCAGAAAAACATAAAGGGAAGAATTTGGGTGGAAATGTTTAAATCAGACCCAAACTGTTTTCAAAGAACTGACATGCAGTGATTTGTTTTATATATATTTATACATGGTATAATATTTCAATATGCTATTTGTGCTGGTTTCTTTGCAGGTAAATGCAGAATCATAATGTGTCATAAGTGGCGTGTGATTCTAATCAGTTTGCAGCTACATCAGATTGTGGACATCTGTGTTCAACCTCAGCTAAAAGCTGTTAACTCTAGGGGTCAAGCAATCATTTTAACTGTATATATATTAACCACAAAACAGGCTTAAATTGGAGGCAAAGGGACTTTTGAGTTTTCCTGAAAATGTTTTAACACACATGGATCTGTCATTTCTGGCCGATCACACTAGAGCCTGAGTGAAAGTCTGGTTGCCTTCATTTTAAGCCTGTTATTTTGTTGCCATGACCCAAATGACTGAGAATTTACATATGCACCATGTTTTTTTCACACTTTCTCACAGAATAACAGCAAGCTTTTATTAGTACATGTATCCGACACACCAGCGTAAATTAGTGTACAGAACCATGCTAGTGTAGAGTAGATTTTCAGTCATCCAGGTCATAGTCATTCCAAAAAAGTTGAAAAAAAAACAACAATCCACTGGACTTTTTTTCCGAGTTTGAAGATGTTTCGCTTCCCATCCAGGAGGCTTTTTCAATTCATATGTCAGAAATAAATAGCATTGAGGTGCTTTATGTAGCCAAACAAAGCCTTGTTTTTTCTTAGACAACATGGTGATTGAAAAGGACGAATGGGTCCACCCCTTTTGGAATGGGGGTCGTTTGGCTTCTTTTGTCAGCCTGAAATGCCCCATACCTGTCTATGTATGTTCGTTTCAATTTGCATGCTGTCTAAGCAGAAACAATACTTTTTTCGGTTACTGTATAAGCAAATCAATGCTATTTCTAACATTTAAATTAAAAAAGCTTCTTGGATGGGAAGTGAAACGTCAACAAACTTGGAAACAAAGTCCATTTGTTTGGGGTTTTTTTTTACTTTTTTTTGAATGCACAGAAATGCTACAGAAATAATTCTATTCAGATGCTGTTTTTTTCTTAAAGGTTTTCCTGTTCTTCTTTGTAAAAGAGCTCAAGCCAAGTCAGATAGAGTCTAAATAAAAAGCTCATTTCAACGTTTGTGCAAATGTGTGATTAGGATGAGGGCTAGCCTGCGTCAGTATTATCTACCGGTAGTTGTAAAACATTGTACTTGTGTTCATTCATTTTACTGTCATCGTCCATTGGAAGGTCAGCCTCAGTCCAAGTCCTTTTCATCTGCAGCTTTTATCTTAAAATTTTATTCCACAGCTTCCCTGTCCCGATGATAAATAACCCTACCACAGTATGATGCTGTCACTACCATGTCTTACCATGCAGATCGTGTTTACAGGCTGATCTGATTTCCTACACCTTTTTCCACACATTTTCTTTTTCCCTTCATAGCTTGTAGAGAACCATGTTTTCTATCGACATTGGCTTTGTTCTTGGCAATTTTTGATAAAGCACAAAATTGCAGAGAGTGCTACAATAAGATGAATAACCTTAACTGAACTGTAAAAGCCGAAAAACTTTCTGTCTTTGACGGTTTTAGCAAATCTTTCTTTGGCATCCAAAAACCAAGAACTGGATATATGGAGGCTGCAGATTGTTCCCTTTTATTATGCCTGGAAATTTGTGTTGGGCTGTCACACAAAATCCTAATTAAGTTTGTCGTTTAAATGTAAAAAAAAATCTAAAACAGAAAAAGTTGAAAGTATGCATGGGGAAGATCCTGTTTTTATCTGAATAAAAAAAATGAAGAAAAGATATTTGCCACACCTGAATATACTCAACCCAGCTCTACTCAACCTTATTTATAAAGGCCTTTAAAACAACCATATATCAAGGAAAGATAAAACTGTCTAAAGACAACGTGAAAGTACAAAAAAACAAAAACAAATAGCAAATAGAACATATTGTCCTTTTCCACCATAAAAAAGCATCTGAACAAAATCTATTTATTGGAGATAAGCAGCTGAAAAGCTAGGAGCAGTTCTCTACTGGAGCAGTTCCTTTAACTAAATACATAAATCAGCAAAAAAGATGCTTTATTCTCTGCAGAGATCTAAGGAAAGATGCACACAGCAGGATTTTGATGCTCTGATAAGAGTCACTGTGGGGAAACCCCAAACTTAGAGCGCATCGCTTCTCACTGAACCCCGTTCAGCTCTAACTTACCTTTTGGTGTGTCTCCAGTGCTTGACGATGACACAGTGCGACTTCGGTCTGCTGTAGGGCTGTTTGCTGAGGGTTCTGTCCCAATGTCTACTGTCCCCCCTGAAATTGGGTTCCCCGGCTCGGGATCCAGAGGCAGCTCGGGGAAGAGGGGCATCTTGGATCGATGTTGTTCGCTGGAGCCGTTGGTCAGCGCCGGCTCGGCCACTTCGCCGTTATACATCTCATACCCGGAGCTGAGCGAGATGTCTCTGTCCGTGTAGCTGAGCTCGGACTCCACCAGGGGGCAGAGTAGAGGCTCAGGGGTGGGTGAGGGAGGGGGCGTCTTGCCGGGGTTTTGTCTTAGTGAATCAGAAACTAACAAAACGTGCCCGTTAGTTTTAGCTGTATTCGTTTTGCTGATCTGGGGCTTAATGGGAGAGGTGCTGTCAGTTAGGAGGTCTGCTGTGGTCGTAGTCGTATCATCGTCGTCTTCATCGTCATAGATCTCCTCGTATTCCTCCCCCTCCCCTTCCTTTGAGTCATCTTCTTTCTCAGCTGCCTCCTCCTCTGTTTTGCTCTCAGTCTTTGGTGCTTCTGTTCCAGTGTCTCCATCCTCCTCCTGCTTCTCCTCTCCTGCTTCCTTATTTTCTTCTTCCACAACCTTTTCCTCCACCTCTTCCTCTTCCTTCACGTTCTCATTCACCGTTTCTTTTAAAGACTCATCCTCCTCCTCCTCTTTCTCCTCCTCCTTCTCCTCGTCTTTCTCCCCGTCTGCTGGCTCTGAATCTCCATTACCTTCTTCCAAGGTGGGAGGAAATGGGGCATCTTTTTCTGCGACAGGCGTGGGCTCCTCTTCCTCTTCTTCCTCTCCCTCCTCTTGCTGGTTAGTAGCCGGGATTTCTGGCACTTCATTTTGCTCCTGGGGAGGTGCTGCACCTAACATGTAGAGAAAAGCAGTAAGTGGGTGGAAAGGGGATAAACAGTGAGTCCAGGCAAAGATAAGGTGGGCAGAGGGATGGAACGGCAAAATAAAGAGAGAATGGAGATGAAAGAGACAGGGGGGTGGAGGAGGAGCAGGCAGACGGAGAAAACGTTTGTTTCTATCAATCAGCCTGGCCCCTCATATGCTGTAGAAGTAGTGTGGGCTAAATGCTTGGAGCCAGTCCACATCCTTCCCATTCACAGGCTGCACAAACCTGCATCTGCAAGCTGGCAAACTGAATCACAATTTAAATTAGTTTAGATGATAGAAATTTTATTTTAAAGCCCTTTAAATACTGTCTTTAGCTCTGATTAGCTTATTTTTATTACCTGAGATGGGTTCAACTATTTCTCTAAAGAAAAACCTTATATTTTTATCTCTTTATACGACCAGTTCAGGATATTTTTTTTTAATCACCAGCCTACTCTCATTGCAATGGCTCTGAAATACAGATAAGAAATGTTTCATGTTTTTGGGGTCTGATTGTTTTAGCCTGTTTTATTAATTCTTATCTAGTTTTAAATGGTTGTTTGAGGTTACTGCTTGGAAAACCCATTTACAGTAGGTTAAAGCTTCAACCATCTGGCTGTTAGTGCAAGTGCAAACCATATTACTGGTTAATCTATCCGCCAAACTCCTATATTACATACACACAACTCCTATTATATACACTGTACTTAATCTGTATTATTTTTTGTATTTGCATTTTTTATATTTGTATGTGTATTATAATTTTTTTTTTTGCTTAGTTTTAACTTAATTTAACTTAATACTTTTTTGCCCTGTAAGCTGCTGGTAACCTTAATTTCCGGAGGGAGTCTTCCCAAGAGATCAATAAAGTACTGTCTAAGTCTAAGTCTAAGTCTGTTCATTCAAATTTGGTGGAAGTTCGCTTCTTTGTTCTGTCTAACTGCATGATGCTGCTTCTACCATGCTTGATCACCACAGACCCATTGTTCATAAACATTTCTTCAAAAATTATTCCTACTGCTTACAATCAATAGAGCTAGAAGACCATAAATCCAACAGCCTTCTTAGACTTTATGCTCTCATGACATGTAGATGTAAATATCTGAATATTACTGAGTATATCACTAGGAAAAGGTTCTTAAACATATATCTGCCCTGGTTTAAGGATCCCTGACCTCTCCTGCATGAACCTAGCTTAGATGGAGCTTAAAACCAAAGTGCTGCTCAGAAAAAAAAATGTAAATAAGCAACGAGAAATATTGGAAACATCTAAGTAAAACGGAATGGAAGAAGCTTGCTAATAGCAGGGAAAATTTGTTTTTTTGTTGTTTTTTTATCCAAATACAAGTGAGGATTTATGCTGGCTTTGCAGCTTGGATGTATGACTGTGACCATGTGAGGAAAGACAAAATTCACACAAAGAAAATCCAACCTGCGCTCCTAAATGATGAACAGTTTTAGATCTAAATAGTCACAAATGTCTGACCAATAAGGACTCACATGTATGATTAGTCAACCTGACAGGCCTCTCCCTTTCTCCCCTTTCCTCCTCCTCTTCATCCTCCCCATCCTCGTCATCGTCGTCATCATCGTCGCTCTCTCCCAGAGCCATGCTGGGGCCCACGGACGCCGGCGGTGGCTTCAGCGTCGAAGCCAGGCTCTGCTCAGAGTCGCCTTCATCCCCGCCTTCTTTGGCCCTCTCCTCCCTTATCTCAGCCTCTCGCTCCAGGGCTTCGATCTCCAACATCCGTCTTTCCAGCAGCTCGGCTTGCCGCTTCTGTTTCTTCTTCAGCTTCTTTTTCTTGTTTTTGGAGATTTTTCCCACCTGGAGGCGAAAAGAGGGCGAAGTACAGAAAGATCGGAATCAGAGACCAAAATGGAAAAAAACACTTGAACATAAACACAGAAATATTAATAGTGAAGAACTCGGTTCACTCAGTCCGAACTTTGAATGACAAAAGCTGAGACAACAATCTTTATTGGACATCCCAGAGTTGAACATTTAACACATAACTATTGTTATTTAATGTACCAAACTAATTTTAAATCAAATCCAATTAAGTTAACACAAATAATTTCAACTTATTTTTGGCTAACACTGCCCTTTATACACTTCCATGGTTTTCTGTGTTGCTGATATATGGACAGAGAAAAAAAAAAACCCTTTAGCCTAATCAAGATTGTTCTCTTTTGACAAATCTAAATATGATTCTCATTCAGTAGGTGGCAGCATGCATCCTTTTTCATCACTTCTCCTGTTTTAAACTTTATTCTACTCCAACAGCGTTTCATCTTCCACTCTAAAGCCTGTAAGAGGCTGAATGTTTTTCTAACATTTTTATGTATTGTATGTGGGAGTGTGTGTGGGGCGGTGGGAGTGGGGAGTCTTGTTTTACCTACAATGTTGGGGAAGTATTTTGTAAAATATCCTACATGCGAGGATTTACAGGTACATATGGGGACATTTAACTGGTCCCTATATGTTAAAGTTCTGTTCTTTGAGCTGGGGTTAGGTTTACGACTAAGGTGTGAATTCAGTTTAGGTTAGGATTAGGTACATGTTGGTAATAGGGTTAGGGTCTGGCTTAGGCCATATAAAATGAATGTAAGTCAATGAAATGTCCCCATATGTCATGAAAACAAAGCTGTGTGTGGGGGTTGTGTAAGTGTGTGTGTGTTTTCTTCTCAGTTCATACTCACATCAGATGTACTCACCGGTTTGAGCTGAGGCGCTGTGCTAACTGAAAGATACGGACAAAAAGACAATGATGAGTGGCTTCAGAGTGGGATCATTTATCAACCAGGATCTTTAGGTAAAGCACTGATCCCTGAAAAGAAAAATACCAAGAACTAAAATGATCTATACTGGGATTTTATGTCATGGACCAACACCAAGTAGAGTCTAGACCCCCAGCAGCTTTTCCTTCCTATTCATAACTTTTCTTTTTTTTTTTTTTTTTCTGGCCATCAGCTCTGACCAGCTGCCCTTGCTGGTGAAAGGCAACCCCTCAGCATGATGCTGCCACTGCGACATTTTCATGTTCAGCCTAATTTAAAGAGGGAATTCAGTCTCATCTGACTGGAGAGCTTTCCTCCTCATTTTCTCCTAACATGGCTTAATGCAAACTGCAATCAAGACTTCTCATTTGCCACTATTTCATAAAGTCTATACTTGTAAAGTAAACAACTAAGCTGTGGATCTCTGCAGCTCCTCCAGAGTGACCATGAGTCTTTCAGCTGCCCTGATTATTGCCCCCTGGTGGGTTTTATAGGTACTAAATTAATTTGAGATTTGCTCATTTTAACACAGTTAAAGTATAGTAAAAAATGTGATATTGTTTAAACTATTGCAGATGTTCAACCAAAGTATCGTTTATTTCTTCTGCTTATAAATTGTGCAGTACTGCACCAGTGTTGGGGTGGTGCATAAAATCCAAGGAAAAATCGTTGATTTTTGTGGGCTTTGTCTAAAGTCTGGATTAAAAATATGACAAACAAAATAAGAAACATAACTTGCACACACCCAAAGTCTTCCTGCCTCCCTGCAGATCAATGAAACTCTTCAATTATTCACTGCAGCGTTAAGCACATTTGATACCGGTGGTCCTATACATGTGCAAACATGGAAAATAAAGTAAAGTGCACTCTCTCATTTTTTCTCTGAATAGCTCACCAATGTAAACACTGCATTAGTTATTAATATTTCAGGAAAAATGTATTGTTTTTGGTATGATCTGCAGATCCTCATTAAGAATATCATACTGAACCTTTCAGATTTTTGAAGTATTCTCAAACATAAGCTCAACATTTTCAAACTTTTTTTTAACGTTCTAAACCTTCAAACCTCCATTCAGTCAAAGAACCAGCAGAAGATGCTGTAAATACGACACATGGCTGCGTTTAAAAGCGTTAACTAGCTCTGCCTCTGAAGTCCCAGACAGACTCCGCCAGCACCGAGCATTCTGTTTCCAACCATGCTGGTTTTATTCCCTTTCAAATGTAGAAATGCAAGCCGCTCAAAAAAAGACTCAACTGATGGTGGCAACTGACAGCTCATGCTGGGGTTCAGCGAGAGGACAAGGTTCACAGACAGTTTTTGTAATATTTCTCTCCACTGGAGGAAGTTGCTGTAAGAAAAATGGAGGGAAAGCAGGAAAAGTGTCTTCATAGTAGAAAAAGGGATGCGGCTCAGAAAGCACAAAAGGCTCAGCTATGAATTAGGGATTTAACAATGGGGTTCAGGCTCTTTAAAATCGCTTTAAATGTTAATTTCAGATGAGCTACTTTTCTTCTCAAGCATTCAAGTTTCAGCAGAAATCCAGGCTATTATTAAGAAACTAGAAGCATCTTTTTCAGCTTTAAAAAGCTGAACTTTTTTTTTTTAATTATCTTCTCATCAATAAACTAAACATGCAACACTTAAATTAAACACTGTTATTATCATACAATATGTCGAATCTTTCATGATTTACAAAGTCCTGAATGTGTTAGGTTCTCTGTTTTCTACTTCTTGGGCTAAAATAAAAGTTTTAATCTTTGCTAAAAAAAAAAAAAAGGTTAATCTTTCTCCAGCTAGAAAAATGTGTGCACTAAGGGGCAACAGAAAACTTGCATGGCCTCTGACCTTTGACACCCCTGCATTACACTATGTTTAAACACGACACACTGCACAGTGATGCTATTGCAGCTTCCCTGCATTTTTGCTGTCACTGTCATGGTGCCTGGTCCTGCATCTCTGAATTTCTGTCATTATTACTTATAAAAATAGAAGGAAGAGAATACCAGAAATAAATAAACAACAGAAAAAAGAAGAGAAACAAATCCGAGTTATAAAGATGTATGTATATAAATAGTATTAAAATGTTTAATATCATTTTTTAATTGTAAGAATCACAGATTTTGCAGTTTTAAATCTATTACAAATGTCAGAAAACTGTTTTCTCTTCACTGTTTTACTCTTATGAGGCCAAAACTTTACAAGGAATAGAAGGTTGATAAGATTTTTTTTTTATTTTACTATTTGCATGAAGCCTTTCTTCTTTTATTATATTCCCACTGTCCACCATGTTTTTTGAGGGAATATGATACGAAAATCAGTGTCAGTATAAACGCTTACAGCTCTAGTTCAGGCTCGCTTGCCTTCAGCGGAGGGCCGGATGATCCCTGAAGGGCGACTCTAACAGCCTTTAGATTTATGGGACTTTTCTCCTTCAAAGGTTGATTTTTATCTTCACTAAGTGACATAAACCAAACCTGCATATTTCCAGAACAAACAGCCCAGGATGAAAATGTTTGATTGGCTACCAGCTGATCCGGAGGGGGGTGGAGCTCCAGCTTTCTGCCATTCGGTCGCCTCCATGGCCATGCGCCTCACGAATACGTCATCTACACACATCAGGATGTTCTCAGGCTTGATGTCTGTGTGGATGATTTTACACTTTGCGTGGAGGTAGTCCAGACCCTGCAGGACCTACAGAATCATTCAGATAAACAAGAGATGATAAACTTCACTTTGGAGAAAATAGTAGCTATTCCATCGATGCCAAGATCGCTGACTTTTCATTTTGATTCAGCTTATCAAACAAAAATTTAAATTCTTAAAACATTGTTTTCTTTAAATCGGCTTCTTTTTCAATGATTAAAAAAAAAAGAAAATAATGATTTCGATCTTAATAGAGGCTGAGACGGAGCCAGACTAAAATAGTTCACCGACTTCACATGCTAATCAGGTGGCTGATGGGAAAATGCCCCCCAGTCTAGTGTCTGAGGAGCAGCAGTGCTTGGATCTAAATTGAACTACTGTCTGCACCTAACTGAATTATCCACATTGTTCTGCTACCTTAAAACTAAGGACATGCAAACACGCTCTAATCAGGAGGTAATCAAAGATCTACACAGCCTATCATCAGGGACAAGCAGAAGGTTTGTAGAGATTCAATATCAGCAGAGTTTGCCTTTTCCTTAATTAACAACATCACAAACTTCATGCTGCCAAATGACTAAGATTAAACTCATAAGCTACAAACACACCAGGTTGAATTATTGGTGAGGATAAAAGGAATTCTAAAATAAGTTAAAAACAATCCACTGGACTTTGTTTCCAAGTTTGAAGACATTTTGCTTCCCATCCAAGAAGCTTTTCCAATTCAAAATGTCAGAAATAGCCTCGAGTTTGAGGCTTTATAGAGTGGACCAAAAACAAAGCCTTGTTTCGGCTTAGAAAAAAGAAGCATGTACACTGCTGAGCAAGGCGGAGGGTCTGTGATGCCCTGGGCCTCTTTCAAAGACCTCTGGAAAAAAGTTAAAATGCATGGAAAAAACCAGGACACTTTAAATGATGCTATCCTTGGCCACGTTAAAGCTGCTTCATCCATATTTAATAGAAATTACCACAGCAGTGTCTATAAGGACACAGTGTGTGTTTGTGTTTTCACCTGTCTGATAATGCTCTTGACACATGCCAGCGGGAGACCTTGGTAGTTGGATTTAATGATCCATTTCAGCAGGTGATGACCCAACACCTCAAACACCATACACACATCTGGTTTGACGAGTCAAGGGATTCCATTATCGTACCTCTGACGGGAACACACATGAAAACACAAACAGCCAGACGTCTAAAGAGGATACGTATGCCGTTGACTCCAGAGATCTTGAAGTCGTCGATCAGCTGCACAACCATGTCTTTGTTTGGGTCGCCGGGGTCGCTCTCTCTCACCTGGAGGCAAGGCGGATAAGGAAATATGTTAAAATAGAAGAAATTTAAAGAGAGCGGCTAGGCGAAGTGGGATATTTCAATTAAACATATTAGTTAGAAGATATATCAAAAGAGCAAATTACTGAATGGATAAGCACTGCAGTATGAGTATGTTGTGCACAATTTGACAAGAAAAACTGAGATGCTCGAACAGAATGAGAAGGGTGAGGAAAAAAGGGAGGAGCTCAGGAGCTGAAAAATATTAAACACTTGGATTAACAGAAAGGGAAAACGGTCACAAATGACAAGATGGTCAAAATAAAGAAATAAATAAACCAATCAGATTCTCACACATCGCAATAGTTTGATCTCATCCAGGGCCGTTTCTGTGTAGTGCTGGGCGCTCTTCACCACCTTCATCGCCACAAAGTTCTTCACTCTGAGATTAAACAGAAACAAATTAACTGATTGATAGACTGGAGGAGGGAACAGGACTTTCTTCTTTTATGCTTAATCACATTTGTCTGAAAAGTTACGTCCTTTTGCATTTATATTCTCAGGGTATTTTTATTAAATATGTATATTCTCTCCCTAAAGCTCAAATAAAAGAGGATTACAAACCTTCAGAATATCTATGATGATAATACAATGCTTTACTTTTTTTTTTCTTAACATAAAGCATTCATATAAGAACAAAAGGACTATGTCATGGTCATCTATGTTTGAAAGTTTTCATTTTATATATCTTTCTTTTTTAAGCCATGATGTATTTTTTGCAAGTAAAATTTACTTTTATGATATTTCACCTCCTTTTTGTGAAGCATTTATTTAGGAAAATGTGCAGAGATAATGCAAAAAGAAAAAAAGGCGATTTCCTCGCATGGACAGCACATTATTCATTTCTGTACTGTTAGTATCTCCATGCTGTAAAAGTTAGCAGAAAAATTGAGACCAGAAGAGAGGAATTAGCAAATGAACCATGCAAAAAAAAAATAAATATATTTTTTTTTTAACAAAAAGACTCAAAACATTGATATAAAACCTGCTTGGCATACATTTATATTTGGAAACACTTGGTCCTTTCTTCTTTTCTCAGAAACACAGTTATATAGCTGAGCTCACCAATATCAACTGTATGTGCAGTTTTTTATCCTATTGAATTGAAAACGGGCTCAGAGCTCATCTACTTAGCTGCGTTTCTCTCCTATAGTCACTAAATCAGCTACTACTACCATTAACCTTTTATTTTTCTCTCTATATAGATATAGATTACTCCTGGATAAATCCCTCTGCGCTCCTTTTATGTCAACGCTCCATCTGCTCAAAGCTCTGTCCTTTGATGCCGAGGCCCTCACAAAACTTAGCCTAGTTGAGATGAAGTTTTCTTTTCTATTGTTAATGTTTGCTATGTTCACTTTCACCACAGACTAATCTGCAAGAGTCTGAATATATTTAATCTGCTGGGTTTCCTTAGATAAAGAAAAAAAACTGATTTGTTTGTTTACTTAATGAAAAAACTGTTTATAGTTTCTAATTAATTTTTTTTTAAGGATTTAAGATTTTGAGCTCAGAGCCGCTGAGACTCATTAATATATCAGTAAATGTTTGATGTATCCTGGAATTTACAGCGATGTGAGAAAAACTTCCTTTTCAAAACATCTTAAGAGCAGCCAGATTAAAAAAAATTATAGTTTATGCCCAATTCAATTGACAAAAACCCAAATTTAAGTCTAAAATCTGATCCAACAAATATATTAATTCTTTAAAAAAAAAGAACAGCAAAAACTAGACCAAATAATATGTATTTACAAAAAATAATTTATTTGATTTGATTAACAGTTTGAGACAGATCCAGGTTGTGCCCGCTATAAAGTTGCAACCTTACTCCATCCTTTAATCAACATTAGTGTAATTAACACCAGCGACCTGAGTAAGTGAGTTTGTGAGTGCGCACATCAGTCGGTGAGAGGTTTCTCTTGGCTTCTGATCCTGTCAGCCATCTGCCCTGGTTGCCACAGCAAACCAAGTTATAGTTCAAGTTCAGAGGTTCGGTTTCCAAGGCGGGATGGTGTTAGTTGCAGCTGTCGGCGAGGAAATGAGCAAGATGCTTTCAGTAGGTTCACGTGTGGTATGTGTTTGCGGTATACGTGACGTTTGTTTAAAAAGCAGGAACCTGCATGTGTGAACTTCTGCATTGTGAATTTCTGGGTCAGCACTGTGTTTGCAGAGGATGTGCATAAAGAAAAAGGAAGCTGATGTGTAGGTTATGCAACAGTCAAGGTGTTTGTGTGAGGGTGATGAGACTCACTGTATGTCCCAGCACAGCCATACTGTGGAGAAGTGGCCCCATCCTAACTTCCTGATCACATGGTACCTTCCGTTGAATAAATCCCCGATCTTTACCGGATGGTATCCTCCTGCGAGAATTAAAGCGAGGGGGGGGAGGTTACAGGGAGGTGTATCCGATACTGACACAATAGCAGAAAATGCATGAGCTACTTAAGATTTTAACAGCACCAAAGGAGGAGAAGGGTATCCTTTATATGTAAAGGTTAGTGCATTTCCCCTAAAATTAAATTATCTTTAAACATAAATGGAAATAAACCACTAGAGGTTGCCTAAGAAGTTCTCCACTGCTGGGAGTTCTGATCAGATGGTACCAAAATTAGCTTTCTCTCCATACAATATACAGCTCTACTTAATAAATAAAATGTTATTGAAAAAATAATTGAGTGAGGTTTTTATTACCAAAAGAGCCTTTAAATCCTTCATAGTGCACTCAGTGAAAAACTTTGAAAATCCAAATTTCAAGCCAATAGTGTTGGAATCTAGGACAAGACCTTATTACCTTTGTAACATTCAAAAAATATGGATATTTTGATGGCAAAAATGTATGTCGATGTAATAACAAGAAACGCCAACTAGACCGAATATATATAGAAAAATAACAAAAGTGCTTCTATTAGAAATTCATGAAAAACACTCAGAATGAAAGAAATAAATTTTTTTTGGTACAACATAACCTTGGAGGCATTAATGCTAATACTGGCACTTACATTTTTAAGTTTATAGACCTAAATATAATTGTTAATTAGGCTTATTAACTTTTTAACTTTACTTTATATATCATTCAAGGGCTCATCTAATTGGTCAAACACCAAAATAGGATGTACAGCCATGTAGCAGCATCTTTGCAGAATTGCTGGATATAGATCTTGTGCTTCTAGAGCTCACTGAGGGACGAGGGAGAATCCATTTGTAAGGGGTATGCAAGTGATCAAAAACGTTAACTTGCCCTATAAAGAATTAATCTAAGCATCATTGGAATGTATTTTCTGATTTGCTGAAAAACAGTTACATAACATACATTTGCTCCATAAATGTAAGGTAATAATATTTACAATCGCATGCTGACGGTGTGCAGACGCTTTGTCTACACCATGAACATCCTTCACCTCAGCATGCCAAGTGCTTACTGTAGCTTAGTGACACGGAAGCTAACCCTGATAATTGTTTTGACCATTTAGGGACTAATTATCGGTAAACAGAGGATCACATGTTCAGTGTTTGATCGTCCAGTGATTAAATCACAGAGAAAAGTAACGTTCTTTGTCCTTGCACAGAAGCACGACCCATTTAATCCAATACAAATATATTATATGCAACACTGGCTCCTGATAAGCAACATCTGTGAACTTAAAATTCAATAATGGAGACGCAGCTGTCCCTATTTTCATCTTGGGCACACAGGAATCTTTGGCTCTTTAACCATTTTTAACTTCGTTTCCTGAAGTTTGATCTCTTTTATCTCTTTCATTTATCTCTTTCGAATGTGGATAGAAATATGACTTTTGTGAGCTACGTCCAAGACCGAAAGTAAAAGGATAAGTTAAAATAAACTACAAATTTGGATTTTCCTGGTTTTCATCATTTACAGAGTGATGAAGAATTAAAAAAGTGGTATAAAGATGCAGTTTAAAGTAAGAAATGCCTTAGTTACTATGAACCACTGTTGATTCATTCTTTGCTGGAATCAAGAAACATTGAAACATTTTTGAAACCCAAATAAAAGCAACAGTGCAATAAATATCAGATGGGAGCTGAAAGCAGTAAAAAGTGAAGCAAGGACTCTGTAAAACAGATGTGGAGGAAGGAGGAAGGTCCCGGAGGGATGAATTCAGCACGTGCGCATCTGTAGCTCTGACCTTTACAGTAGTCTGCTGGGTCCTCCTGCTCCTCATCGTCAGAGCCCAAGATCTCTTCCTCTGGCTCAGGTTGTCCTGCCAGCTCAGGGGGAGGCGGAGGAGGTGGCGGGGGAGGGGGAGGGGTAGTAACCGGGGCTTTCTGCTGGGTTTCAGGCCTGTGAACACATCATTAATATAAAACTTTAATAGGAACTTATTTATTTATTTTTTGTATTCTAAGCAAAGATCCAAGCAGGTGGATTTTTCCCACTCAGATTTCAACTTTTTGAAGTTTCTAACTTGAAATACATCTTTAAAGCACACAGTGTTAGACTGCAGGAGTTTTGTAACGCAATGGAAAACAATCTGGGATTATATTGAGAAAGCATTTACCATGCTGAGATTAAGAAAGTTACATTTTTCATGTTAATAAACATATTTGTTATACCGGGTATCTTCAAATATTTGGCATTTTATATCGCCATGGTATCGAAAATGGTACAGAATATTTTTATGGGTATCAATATCAAGTTTGGAGTTTTAGTATCTGGACAACTCCAGCACTAAATAGAATAAAATCTTAAACTGCATGGTCGCCACTGTGTAAAATATTTATGATATAACATGGTATCCAGAGGAGTGCAACAGAAATTCCTTTAACTTCTTCTAAAAGTTAGGTCAAGCAATCTAAGTGGTATAAAGGATACAGTGGTCTACATTAGCAATAGGACTAGTAAATGTGATTTTGATCAAATAAAAAATAATCCTGCATATTCTGTCCATTAAAGACCAGGTTTTTGGATTGTGACAGATGTAAATATCAGCTCAGGGTGTGCAGTATCACAGTCGTAGATCATGACGGGTTAGAGAATGTAATGAGTTGGCAAAGTGGCCAGACTCTTTGATCGACAGTGATGCAAATTCTTTGCATTGCAGTTCTATGTTTATGATGTTGCCCGTCATACTGAAGAGTTAATGTAACCAGGTGGGAGTATAGGCTCATCCAAGGTATGACGTCAAGTTAGTCACGTGGACTAGAGTCAAAATCTACCAGTATAGTTAGTTAACAAAATCACCTTTTGATCACAATCAAACCGCAAAGAATAAGAAATCAGTTTTGTTGTTTGATATTGCATCGAAAGACAGCAAAATGAAGATCTTTTGCAGACCACAATGATCCTGTCAACGTGTCAACAGAAACTGAAAAACAATCCAGTTTTACAGAACATGATTTGAAATGCAAAATATGGTGCTGTTATTTCTGTCAATATGACAACATAGACCAAGATGAGTTGAATCCTTGGAAAGTTATTAAAGGAGGCCTGCGCTGCTGAAGTGCTTTGTTTTGTTTAATGCAGGTGTATTTAAACCATCAAATGTTACAAATCATTTTGTCCATACTGTGTGAGAAGAGAAACTACTGAAGCCTCAAGCCCCTCCAGCTCTTGATAGCCAGAGGCGTAGCCAGAAAATGTTAAGAAGGGTGGCCAGGCAATAACCAGTGTACACTGAGGGGTGGCCGAAAGTGGATAACTAGAACCTCAAGGTCAATCTACGCTATTGCAACAGGACAATTAACGGGCAAAACATCCATATTTTCTAAAGACAAACTATACTTTCCTACAGCCTTTGCTAAAAAATAGACTCATATATATTTAAACATCCGTCTAGCTAAAAGGTATAGTGGATAAACTTGTCTTTTATCTTTCATCTTTTATATTGTCAATACCTACTTTTATCAATAATCATTCAGCATAAAATTGATATTTAAAAGTACTAATATCTACATAAATTGATTATTTAATACGTTTTTATTCAAGTAGTTAATTATAATTTCACTGAAGACTCCTAGATAATTTGCAAAGATACATAATTTTCTCTTTACCCCATAAGACAAAATCTAGTTCTGAAAAGAGCATTAGATTAGATTAGATTACATTAGATTCATCTTTATTGTCATTACACAGGTACAGGTACAAGGCAACAAAATGCAGTTTAGGTCTAACCAGAAGTGCAATAGCAGCAAGTGCAGGATAAATAATGGTTCCATAAATACAGGACATGGGTTTTCTACTGAATGAGTATAGAGATGAATACTATTATAAACAATGAATATAATATATAGATCACTAGTGATATCAACTAAATTTACAGCTGGATATACAGGTGGATATTACTATAAAAAAAAGGTTTTTACAGTTATGTACAATAGCATATATACAGATGGGTTTTACTATAAAATGAATAAATAAAGTTTGGAAAGAAGCTATCTAAATTAAAGTGCAGTGGAAGGTACTGTAATTGCATATTACAGTTAAAGTACATTATTGCAGATGTAAATGTAAACAATTGGTACTGTGAATATAAGCAGTCGGCAGTGCAAATCAGTTAAATATTTCTATAATCATCATCTTTAATGTTAGCATATTGATGTGTATATTCAACCTCAGTGTTTTTGTTGTCAAGTAACTGTAAATATCTGAGAAATTAAAATGTTTTGAATATTCCACTTGAGAGTATTACTTCTGCCACCATCATATTTACACAATAATCCAATATTTCAATAAATCATTTTGAGAAACTGAAAAATTGACATAAAACTGTAAAAAATTAGAAGAAATGCACTTTATATTGCTTTACTGTTTCAGGAAGTCAGTTGTTGAAATAAATAAGCAGTAGGGAGTTAAGATCAAAAATCATAAATCACGTGATTTAAATATTTAATTTCTAATATATTCCCAGCTTTATTTGTATATTTATTAACATTCAATTGTATATTTTCTTGCGAAAGTTTTATATTAGCAGCTTGCTTTCAAAGTGACAATGAACTTCTTTACTTTAATTATAATATTTCAACATAATTAAAACATAATGTGGTCATTAGGATAGATTTGTAGAACTGCTACTCAGAATGATCCACAGCAATACAGTAATAGTTTTAAGGCTAAAATCATAAGAACACAAGTGGTATTACTTTGATCTTATAGTTAGAGGCCATGGATGTAATAACATGAACATTAAGCAAAATATTCTTAATTACAACTCTGGTATGAATAGGACAAAAGACATTTTCCTGATAAGGAGGTACAGTAGTACTTCAAAGTGTTTATTTAGTTGAAAATCGGTCTATGAACTGAAAGTTCACACATTTTTAAACAGCTGCTCTTGCATACATTTGGTCATTTAACTTATATGATGCTCTGAGAGTAAGCACAATACAATTAGTATTTGAAGTGGGGCTCATCAGTTGACCCAACATGAGCAACATACTCCAAAGCTTTGCCCTAATTGGAAACTGCCCCAGAAATAGCCCAGTGACCCGACTCAGATGACTTTTATACTTTGGGATGGTAGCTAGAAACTCTATGTTTTCTCAGCAGAAAGTCCTTCACATGCAAGTGCTTACTGATTGTGATGACGTGTCTTTCGTTTCTGAGTGAAGAAACCACAAACATATCTATTTTAACAATTGGTGAGGCGCTCAAAATGAAGTCATACATGAGACAGAGCAGCTAGATCGCATCAGAGCATCGGGACACAGTGTGAGAACATACAGTATATCGGGAGCTGTGAACTTTTAAACCCAGCGGATTCGTCGTTCAGTGTGAGCTGTAGCTGCGTGCAACGATTGAAAAAAATCGCAGTGTATGCCCGGCTTAAGCAAGCATCAAACCATGTCGGTAGGTGCATTTGTAGTAGATATACAACAGAAAACAATAGCTAAAACCAATTCAGGTCAGAGACAACAAGAAATCAAAGCGAGAGGTTCAAGGTAGGTACATTCAAAATGCAGAAAACATTTTCTTATTAAGGTATGATGACAACATCTTCACCTTACATTTGTCTCTATAAAGCAAACTTAGATAACATTAACTCTAATAAGAAGTCAAACACTCAGGGATTTCTGTGATAGTACAAAAAAACAAGACGTACAAAACAGCGGTTAGGGTAACCTCTCTTGTTTGTTGCCACGGCAACAGCAGAAAGGGAGGCTTGATGGATACGGGACCCAAAATGTTAATGCTTTGACACACACACACACTGTGACTTTACAACTCTATGAAACCACCACACATACTAAAACACACAGGCTGTCAAGGTTCTCTGTCCTTGCAGCAGGACGCCACCTCTTTACCAAAGCAGTCACGTAGAATGTCATACATCTCATCCATAACCTCAGAGCTATAGTGAGATTCATCCTGCCATTAGCGCTACGAATACCTGCCCCTCATAAGATCCTGAAGCCAAGCTTAGCTATAAGAAGAATTAAAACAGTCTCAAAGAGAAGCCGAGGAGAGATGGTGACAAAAAGGGATGAAAATCCAACAGGGGAATGGCTAAAAAAGGCTACAGAAATAAAACAAGGCAGAAGAAGGTTGAGAAACACAGAGGCAAGTTTGAAAATGTATATTTGGATAATTACACGAAAACAGAAGCCAAAGATACAGGTCTGAAGAGCGCAGAGAAAGTCCAAATACACAACTTGCATACAGAAACCATTAGCAGATGCCACAAAAGACAATGTGACAGACCAAAGGAGAAAAGAGAAACACAGGCCACAAGAATATCGCAAGTTTGGAGAACACATGAACATGTCATCAGGTCCCAACCCACACATTGTTAAGTGACTAACAGTAGCAAATGACCCAACCTTTAATAGATGCAATGCAGAAATCATACAGAATATAAAGACAGCAAACAACGATACTGACAAAAAATTGCATAGCTGCAAAGTGTAATGAAATAATAGATGGTTAACAGCAGAGTATATGTACAAATAAATAGAGCTGGATAATTAATGGCAATTCTAATGTATTTACTATTTAAAGATTAAATTTAAAGGTATAGAGGATAATCTTTTATTTCCAGGTGGATCATCTCAATAAGTGGTCCTCCTAATTGTCAATCATTCTGATGAAATGTTTACGTAAGGCTCATCCCGTTAGCAATCTTTTTCTGAGCATGTGCATTTCCAGAGCTCTTCTCACAAAGTGTTACAGGATTTGCGACTAATAACAAAGATGGCGCAGGCACTGCGTGGTGGAGGAGGAGTTACATAACCAACGGGAAGCAAAAAGGAGTGATCATCTGTCCAAACGGTCAGTTAAGTGAGTTTGCCATAAAGTCCACTATATAGTCCCCGCATTATATATCGATTGAGGGATTTAGGGGTTAG